AGGCACTTTCTTCTCTGGAATGACCTGCTTGAGGAACTCCGTAAATCCCTCTGTAGGATTCCAGCACTTCGATTTCCACAACTCCGCCGCTATGTTGTTACGACCAGTTGCTTTTCCTGGTTTCCTTTTCTTCATAGCCAAAATAGTCTCCTTCACGGTCATCTTCTGAACGGGGCCGAATTCTACTGTTAAGATGTTTTCGAAGTAGTCACACCATCGCTTCAATGTTTTCTTGCGGTCCGTCAAGAGGTGGTCCATTCTCGTCATTTATGCCGAAGAACTTTTCTATATCCTCAGGTCTGGCAATGACGAGCCTATAGAAAAAGGTCCATATTCAAGCGCAGAAAGGGAAAAAGGAGAATCATCGTCAGCGATGTGCACGCGAAGAAACATTGTCGCGTGCGCATCGCTGGCGATGGTTTCTAGAGCATTCCAGTAGTTTCTTTCCGTTCTTCTTTACTGGCGAGTCTATATATGCTATATATTTGTCCTCATCTTGCTATCGAAGATTATGCTAGTGCTGATGGAGTATGCTAAAATTCTGACATTCCATAAAATCCGTCTGCAATGTATTCACACTTTGCTGTTCAGGTATACGGCTTCTATGACGAGTGTAAACGGCGTTATTCAGTGAAATTGTACTACGTCTTCCAGGTAGATTATTTTTTACCCTGAAGCCATTATGATGCTAACCAAGAGATGAACTACAGGACCTATTCGATGCACTACCGTTATGTTCACTGGTCAGTGGAAGGATTTTGGGTATGCACGGAGGTCTCTCGCCGAAGCTGACGTCGTGGTCAATGATGGACGACATCGTACGGCCTCTCGATCCCGAGGATAACGCGTTAGCAATGGTATGATGAGCCAAAAAATATGACTAAACTGGGATCTTAACCACAGAAGCTGAAGAAGGATTCCACGATAAGGTCGGAGATCGAGGAATGGGAAATATCCTTATGCTTAGTGGGAAGGGAGGTGCGCCCCTGAGGATGCGCGACGAGGCGCATTTCGCAGCCAAGAGTATGCCCCAGCGCCCTAGCAGAGCCGTGCTCAAGCCGCTCGTCATTTGACTCTAGCCGATGAAAGTCGTTTCAATGCGAAAATCTACGGCCAAAGCCATTTCATGGGTTCTGAGCCGTTTCTTACTGTTTTCCTTATTCCATGCACCACTGAGCACCTCTAGCCTGGGTTGATAATGGATTGTCCTTTCATCGTAGACTCCGCCTTCAAAGATAAACGCTTGGAGTTGATTAATCTGTATGGGGCGCTGTCGCGAGATCGCAAGACACCGAAGGCGTG